TGAACGAATGCCCCACAAAGAACCCATAGATGCATTTTAAATAAAAGGGCACGTTCTACTCATGTAAAAACATTCTGATTCCCAGACAGTCTGCAGGTCGGATTTAGAAGGTGATTGAGCTTAGTTTGCCTACCCATGGTGGTGAGACTAAAGAGGAGCAAGCTGGCAGGCAAAGCCATTCTCTGGACTGGTCCTAAACAAGAAGGCAAGCTGGCGGGAGTTGGATGAGGGCAGACCAAGGTTGGTGGGTCATTGCCCACTTCACCCAGATGGACCAGTCTCCGCTGTGCACGGCTGCTTTGAAATTTAAAAAGGTGCCTCAGACGATGTCAGGCTATTGGCCCATCCAGCCCAGCATTGTCCAATCCAGGGTTAAGGAATCTTTGCCAGCATTTCCTTTTAGCCAAACTCCCAAGGGCCACATGCCAGCATTGGGCCAAGAAAGGAATGCAAATGTTATCTTGGCACACTAGGCTAGTTTCTATAGACATGCAAGCACATAGGAGCTTTACACTGTGCCAGACCACAGAACTATCTAACTCAGTACCGCCTACACCATGGGTAGGCAAACTAAAGCCCAGGGGCCGGATCTGGCCCAATCGCCTTCTCAATCCAGCCCGTGGATGGCCCGGGAATCAGTGTGTTTTCACATGAGTAGAATGTGTCCTTTTATTTAAAATGCATCTCTGGGTTATTTGTGGGGCCTGCCTGGGGTTTTTACATGAGTAGAATGTGGGCTTTTTCTTCTTCTTTTTTTGAGAACGATTGGAAGCTTTTTACACAAGACTAAGACATGATGTTGAATAAATATCTGGTGCTTTTAATTGTTACTTTTCTTTTCTTGTTACTTTTAATTTTTTTGTATTTTTTGATGTGGAGAATTTTTTTCCTCTCTTTCTTTTCTTTTCCTTCTTTTCTGTGCTTAACTTTGTTGTACTTACCTTTATTGTTAGATTGTATTTTAAACCAATAAAGATGTATTTATTAAAAAAAAAGAATATGTGCTTTTATTTAAAATGCATCTCTGGGTTATTTGTGGGGCATGGGAATTCGTTCATTCCCCCCAAAATATAGTCCGGCCCCCCACAAGGTCTGAGGGACATTGGACCGGCCCCCTGCTGAAAAAGCTTGCTGACCCCTGGCCTACACCAACTGGCAGCAGCACTCCAGAGTTTCAGGCAGGAGTCTCTCCCAGCGTTATTTGGAGGTCCTGGGGATTGACCCTGAGGTATCCAGGGGATTGCCTGTGTGCAGGGACGCGGGTGGGTTAATCCACAGAGCCTAGGACTTGCCGATCAGAAGGTTGGCGGTTCGAATCCCCCTGATGCTCGGTCCCTCTCCTGCCAACCTAGCAGTTCGAAAGCACGTCAAAGTGCAAGTAGATAAATAGCAGCCTGCAGCGGGAAGGTAAACAGCGTTTCCGTGAGGTGCTCTGGTTCACCAGAAGCGGCTTCGTCATGCTGGCCACAGGACCCGGAAGCTGTACGCCAGCTCCCTCGGCCAATATAGCGAGATGAGCGCCGCAACCCCAGAGTCGGCCACGACTGGACCTAATGATTAGGGGCCCCTTTACCCTTTACCTATTCTGTGTTCAAGACAGGTGCTCTACTACTGAGCTCTATCCCTTGCCCCTTCTCTAGTCTCCATCCAGAAATGAAAGAGGCATTATCAGAGTTCAAGGAGACATTGCAGCCAGATTTTTTAAAAAATAAATAATTTGCGTGCAAAGCAGGGCTGGGAAGGGTTATGACCTGGAGAAGAGCTTGGAGGGAGAGATGGAGAAATATCGAGGGTCACATTCAGTCTACTCTGGACCTCAGGGAGAGCATGTGGTTGTTGTTTTTTTCCATTCCCTGCCAGCGTTTCAGCAGGCGACGCCAAGGATTCAGGCAGGTGCCTTCTGCACGCCAAGCACGTATCCAGCCATTTGAACCACGATCCCTCTCTTTTGAGCAGTTTCAGCACGGGGGGCAGGAAACACCCTGCTGCACGAACTCTTGGCTTGACCCAGCAAATCTGCTGTGGCCCATTAGACAGATTGTATTCTAAATTTGGCTTCATTTGCAAGCGAGACGGCCCCGTGTCCCCAGTGATCTTTTATTAATGAGCCTTTTTGCAGGGAGCGCGATGTTCCCTGGGCGGAGCAGGTCACCCGGAGCAGCCAAGAGGCGGTTGGAAGGGAAGCACAGACATTTGTCAAAGCAGCCGCTGCAAGGTGCAATGTTTTGCTTGGGCAATTTCTTTTTCTTCTTCTGCTGCTGAATTCTCTCCCTCTCTAAATGGGCATTAAATAGGAATAGAAAGGAAGAGGGGAAACGACTCTGTTCAGACGGTGACCTGGCAAGCCAAACGCAGCCCTTGCTAGACATGCAACAAGCTCTTCCAAATGCATTACATTTCCCCTCGCCCCCCAAAACCCCATTTATGCAACTAGAATGGAGCTGGTAGCAGAAAGATGATTTTAAGATTATGGTAAGACATGGTGGATTTGAAAACCCTTCAGGCGCCCTCACCCTAGGAGCAGATGTTGTTGCGGACATCTTTCTGTCTCGAGAATGGAGAATCTTTTTTGCTGTCTGATGCTAGAGAGAGAGGAAGCCATGTTGCAGTGCTCTGTGTGTGTTTATATGTAAATTAAGTAGATTAGCCAATATGCTGAGTTGCTGAGGTCTGTCACGCAAGTTGCGCAAACTCTGCAGATCCCTAAGTGTGCCAGTGTGGGTGGGCATCGGTCGCTGTGATGTTCGGGCTGAAGAAAGCTTTTGAAGCTCCCAAACGATCGACCAGGAGGGAGGGAACATGACAGTCGGGCATGTGTCTCTGCCAGGGTCCTATTCGAGTGTAGGCTGAACTCCTGACACTCTGGGAGTGAAGTCAAACCACTGTGTTAGCAGCACCAAAGTGACTTCCTTGAGATGCAAGCCAGGGCATTGTGTAAGGAGGTCCTGGGCTGCCCAGACGATAAGACCCCATTCTTGGCCTTGTTGATGTGGTCCAAAGGAAAGAAGAGCAATAAATTTGGCACCAGTTGGGCTGCAGGAGTTGCCAGAAGGAGGCATACAGGGCACCATCCAATCGTGTTAGAGACTCCAGATTTGGAGAGGGTTCGCTCCTTAGCCTGTTCCTTTTCCCAAATGTATTTCCTAGATGGGCTCCCTTCCCAGGTTGACAAGACCCCTCTAGGAGTGGACAGGAACCTAAGAAGAGCCTACTGGATCAGGCCAAACATCCTGATCTAGTCCAGCATCCTGTTCTCATACTGTATTTTTCGATCCATAAGACACACTTTTTTCTTCCTAAAAAGTAATGGGAAATGTCTGTGCGTCTTATGGAGTGAATGCGTTGTTCCTGGAGCCAAACTGCCCAGGGGCAAAAAGCAGATCATGCTTTTTTTTTTTTGAAAGAGGGAAGTGGGTGTTGAAACAAAGCCGCTGATTGTTTGCCAATCGGGGAGAGAGATAAAGGACGCTAGCAGAGGCTGCCTGGGAGTGGGGAGGTAAAAGCCCATGGATCCTCAGGATTTTTACATTGGGTCACCCCAAATTCACAATCAGATCACATAGAATGTCCATGGCTACAGCCTGCACCAAAAAAAAAACCACGCATCCACTGTTGTGTGGGGCCACAAGGGCACAAAAACATGGTTACAAAGCATGCATCCACATGGATCCTCAGGATTTTTGCATTGGGTCACCCCAAATTCACCATCAGATCACGTCTGTGGCCACAGCATGAACCACAAAAATCATACATCCACTGTTTCGTTCAGAATTCCCCCCCCCTTGTTTTCCTCCTCTAAAAACTATGTGTGTCTTATGGTCAGGTGCGTCTTATGGAGCAAAAAATACAGTAAGTGCCCAACCAGAAGCCTCTGGGAAGCCTGCAAGCAGGATCTGAGCACAAGAGCCCTCTCCCCTCCTGCGGTTTCCAGCAGCCGGGATTCAGAAGCATTGCTGCCTTCTCCATGGATTGGTCTAATCCTCTTTTAAAGCCATTCAAGTTAGGGGCCGACACGGCTTCCTGTGGGAGTGAGTTCCACAGGTGAAACTACGCACTCGGTGAATAAGCGCTTTCTTTTTTGTCTGCCGACATTCAGTTTCCTAAGAAGTCCTGAAGTTGTAGTGTTCTGCGGGGGATATATACACCTTGCATAGAAACCAACTCCTAGGGGCCGAGGTCCCTTAATTCACTCCTTAAAATATTTCAGGGGGCCGCACCCCCACCCCCAAGTTCATTGGCATTGCCATTCAAAAGCTGTGTTTGCACCCCATCATGTGATTGATTGATTGATTCTGTGACATAAATCAAAACAGCTTCAGTGGCTCTGCTCTGGAACCAGCTCTGGATATGACCTCACTGACTTTGTAGAAAAGCAGAGACTTCACCTTGCCAACAAAGGTCCATATACAGTGGTACCTCGGGTTAAGTACTTAATTCGTTCCGGAGGTCCGTTCTTGACATGAAACTGTTCTGGGTTAGCGGAGTGTGTAACCTGAAGCGTATGTAACCTGAAGCGTATGTAACCCGAGGTACCACTGTAGTTACAGCTATGGTTTTCCCAGTAGTGATGTATGGAAGTGAGAGCTGGACCATAAAGAAGGCTGGTCGCCGAAGAATGGATGCTTTTGATTTATGGTGCTGGAGGAGACTCTTGAGAGTCCCATGGACTGCAAGAAGATCAAACCTCTCCATTCTGAAGGAAAACAGCCCTGAGTCCTCACTGGAAGGACAGATCCTGAAGCTGAAGCTCCAATACTTTGGCCACCTCATGAGAAGAGAAGACTCCCTGGAAAAGACCCTGATGTTGGGAAAGATGGAGGGCACAAGGAGAAGGGGACGACAGAGGACGAGATGGCTGGACAGTGTTCTCGAAGCTACCAGCATGAGTTTGACCAAACTGCGAGAGGCAGTGGAAGACAGGAGTGCCTGGCGTGCTCTGGTCCATGGGGTCACGAAGAGTTGGACACGACTAAACAACAGCAAGCTGCGCGGCGTTCCCCGCAACAACCCTGTGAGGCAGGTTACGCAGAGAGCGAGGGGCTGGCCCAACGCTTCAAAGCCAAGGTCGGATTCGAACCCAGGTCTCGCAGGGGTGGAACTCTACCTACTACACCACACTGCCTCTATACAAAAGGCACTTTTAATTGTTCCCACACGCACCCCCTCTTCTTTCCGATTCCACCTTCCAGACCCAGCGAGAGTTAACCGCGCCGCCGCCACTGCCGCCGGGAAGAGGAGGGCCGCTGGGCGGCGCCCGAACCTCCCGGATCCCACCCGAAAGGAGGCGCCACCGCCGGCTCCAGCGCCGCCGCCTCGCCCTCTTCAAGTTGGCACTTTGAAAATGTCTCTGCCGTTTGCCCGGGAAAGCCGAGGTCGCCGGGGTCCCGCCTCGGCCTGCCTCCGGCCGGGGCTTCCCTTTGCGCCCAAGCCCCGCTAGAGCGCGCCGGATCCCGGCCTGGGAAAGCCCTTTCCCCCGCGCTGCACCTGCTCCTGCTCCTCCATGCCCCGGCGCCAGCCATGCTTCTCCGGCTCCTGCTGCTCGCCCTGCTCGGCCTGGGCCGGGCGCCGCGGCTAGGAGGCGTCCCGACGGCTTGGGGAGCCTCAGAGGCGCGCGGCGCGCACCGGGACCCGCCGCTCGGAGGCGCCGAGGACGCGGGTGCGGAGGGAGACCCGTGGTGCCCGTACAAGGTGCTGAGCGAAGGCCCCGACGGCGGCGGAGGAGCCTCGGGGGCGCAGGGCGGGCGCCTGTGTTTCCGCAGCCGGGCGCGGGGCTTCCAGTGCGCGCCGCGGAGCTGCAAAGCGCACCGCTCGCCCGGGCGCGCCCTGCTGGCCAACGTGCTCCTCAACGGCAGCGTCCTCCTACAGTGGGGCTGGCCTCCCCTGCTGGCCGAGGGAGAAGAAGACGGCGACGACGAGGGAGCCGAAGCTCCCACCTCCTCGGCCGAGCTCGGCCTGCTGCGCGGCTTCTCGCTCTCGTGCTCGTGGGAAGGCGCCTACACGCGTTTCCAGTGCGACCGCGTCCAGCTGGGCGCCGCTTGCCGCGACTACCTGCTGCAGGACGCGCACGGCAGCGTCCGCTACCGCCTCTGCTTGCAGCCCCTCTTCTCCGCCGCCGCCAACGGCACCGATCCTGATTCTGCTCCTCCTCCCCGGTGGCCTCCGGAATGCGTGGAGTTCACCGTGGAGCCGGCCGGCATGCGGGAGATCGTGGTCGCCATGACGGCCGTCGGGGGCTCCATCTGCGTCATGCTCGTCTTCATCTGCCTCCTGGTCGCCTATCTCACCGAGAACCTCACGCCCCCCGCCGCGCCCGCCGCCAAGAGGGGAAACTGAGGCGGGTTAAGCCCCGAGGAGCGCGCAGTGAGACCCTGGCTGCCCTCGGGTGGACGGGGGAAGAGAGCCCCAGCGAGCAACCTTTGAGCGTGCGCCTCGTGCCGAGGACGCACAACTGTGATCCCTGCTCCGAATTACTTTATGTAATCACGGGAGTAAGCCATAACGGGGTGTAGCGTCGGAAGCCCACCCCCCTTTCAGATTGGTTTCAAATCGGATGGGGACCTGTGTGTGGAGATTCTTGCATTGCAGGGGGTTGGGCTAGATGACTCTGGGGTGCCTTCCAGTTCTGCAATTCTAGTATTCTTTCAGGTTTGCTTGGCTATAAAGCCCCCCTCCCCGGGGATTGCTTTCTGAGTAAGCCTGCCCAGGAGAAAGGGGCTGTGCAGGTGGTATCCCTGGTCACATTTACTTGGGAGAAAGCCTGGACTTTAACTGGCGAGCGGATCCAGTTGCAAATTAGGGCTGCAAAGGGTCTTGGCCTGATTGGGGAAGCACTTCTTTTCAAAATCCTTTTTAGCTCAGTTAAAAGGGTGCCTTCTTTGGATGAATGCCACACTTTAAAAAATAGATATATTTAGGTTAATTTCTAATATTCCCCCTCTTCTCACACATCGCCTTCATCCTGATTTGTTTGCAGGGTGGTTAGACAATGCCTCAAAGGAAGCGTTGCCCTTCCAGTGCGTTTTCACTGTTACTTTCCTTATTGCAAAAACTCCAGTCTTTGGGGGAAGCAGGTTTGCTGTGCAAGACCTCCCCACTATAATTGGCCAGGCGGTAGGTAGCTCAATGGTAGAGCATCTGCTTTGCATGCAGAAGGTCCCAGGTTCAATCCCCGACGTCTCCAGCAAGGGCTGGGAATGTCACCTGTGTCTAAAACCCTGGGTCACTGCTGCCAGTTTGTGTTGCCAATACTGGATTATATGGACCGAGAGTCAGCTTCCTGCATTTCTAGAACCTGAATTTGCTGGTATGTGATTGGACCCCGCTCAAAGAGAGCAACGGTCTGGAAGCACCCTAAGATTTGTGAAGTGGTTATGATGGTGATGGTAGACTGTGCTAGACCAACCCTGTCTGTTGGGGGGGGCAAGGAGAGAGGGAGGCTCCCCTACTTTATGAAGCAGTGGTTCTGGTCCTCTCTGGCTAGAGACCTCTGGGGGAAGCCCTCATGCAGTTACCCAGGGCTCATCTCCACACCTGCGCATGTCACGTGACAACTGCACCATCAAGTGATGACTTGACTTGGATTTTTGGATTGTGGGTCAGTCACCACCTAATAGGAAGTCCACTTGCTGCTTTGAGTGGTGTGAGCTCCCCATTCACTGCCTTTTCTGGTTCTTTGAGAAATTTGCAGGTAAAGTCCCACATGCTCTGTTAACCCCTCACTGACTTCACTCACCTTGCCTGCCTGCACAACGTACAGGTGTTGTATTTTAAAGAGGCATCTCCATTTTGGGGGGAGCAGCCCTTTTTGGTGAGAAGCGGTGGAAAATGCCTCCAGTCTTGGAGATCCCAGGGATAGGGACCATGTCTGTGGGGCTGCTGGCTATTAGGAAAGAGACTGGTGTCTGCTCTGGGAGCAGGAGGGGGATAAGAGGGGAAGCTAGGACCAAGGGGAATCCCTTGGGTGGGTGAGCAGAAATATAAGGGCTAGCTGAAGATGATGCTGGGAACAGCTGTGATGGAACAAAGCAACCTCTGGCTGTGCATTCATTTTTCCCCCTCCCCAAAGAATCCTGGGAACTGTAGTTTGTTCTGGGTGCTGGGAATTGTAGTGCTGTGCAGCGTAAACTGCAGTTCCCAGGTTTCTTGGAGTGGGGTATGCTTCAAAGCACTTTGTGTATGCAGCCTTTGTTTCTTCCCCATTCAGAAGTCTGTTCTGAATGCCAAAGCTCAGGTGGTGTAGGAAGTGCAGGAACAAATGCAAAGTGCCCCTGAGCATGTGCAGAGTCCACTTCTCCGAGCTAAGCAGCGGTTCCCTCCACCAGCTGGTTGGGGAAGTGGGGGAAGTTGGACACCTTCAGAAAAAGTACATAAGCATTTCTCCATGGCACCTGGCCCCGTTGAAGCAAAGTAGGGTTGCCTCCATTGCATCAGCTATAGCTTAGAGACACACCTGGACTGGTCCAGAAGATGCATCTTCTCATCCATCATGTCTGGGACTTGTTAGCCTGCATCTGGACCATAGATGGAATTGATGCTTCAAGTAAGGAGAACCAGGCACCTCTCTTCCCCAAGAGTTGAGCTGAATTCTTGAAGCAGAAAACCCCAGAACTCAAATGTGAGAATCTGCCATCTGAACTTTTGAAGTTTTGAAAATGCTGTGTTTTAAAAAAAGATCTCGAAGCAACTTTTTCTATGCTGTCATAATCCAACACCTGCTTAGACGGGGGACAGCGTGTAGCAATGAGCACATATGTGGGTGGCTCTAGGTATGTCCCCCAAACCTTTGACCTTCAGCACAAAGAAGTAGATTCTTTTAAAAAAGAAGGGGGGGAAAGTGGTTTTCAGGTTTTATATATGGGGGGGAAATGAATTTGAAGTCATTCGTTTCAAATTGTTGTCAAACATCGTTCTGTGTCTAACCGTTCTCAAATAACTTTAGAGGGAGATGGAGGCTTCCTTGAAACTAGAGTTTCCCAGAGACGAAATTCAGGTTTTGAAAGGATTTTAGAGTTAGACTAGGGGTGGCTAAGATGATGACTTCTGGGTGTCCCTGAGGCTTGGGCCCTCCGGGTGTCGCTGAACTACAATTCCCACCATCCCTGGCTATTGACCATGCTTGCAGGGACTGATGGGAGTTGTAGACCAACATGAGTCAGAGGGCACCAGGTTGACTTTCCCTGAGGTCAGACTTTGCATTAAAGCAGTTGTGAGGAACTTGTGGCTCTACAGACATTGCTGGACTAAAGCTCCCATCCTCCCTTGCAAGTGTGGCCATAGCCAGGGAAGATGGGAGTTGTAGTTCAGAGACACCTGGCAAGCCAGAAGTTTCCCACACCTGCTTAAAATAAGATTGGTAAACGGTTCTGTTGCTTTGTTTGCTGAATTTTCTCTGGATTGGTTTCAAGGGAGGAAAAACTTTCATCTCGCTCAGGTGCTTAGATATCGTTTTCTGTTTCTGTGATGGGAAAACGTAACACAGTGGTGAAATGGGGAGCATAGATGCTCATTCGATCAGACTTCCTTGTTTGGGTGGCAGTAACGTGTGTGAATTTTCTGCCAGTTTTAGTAGAAAGTCCTGCATCGCCGGGGTTTAGACTAGATGTCCTTCGGTGTCTCTTCCAGTGCTACTGTTCTATTAAATGGTCGCTCTAGGGCAAGGATAGGAAATCTGTGGCCCTCCAGATATTGTTGGACTAGCGCCGCAGACCACCCGATGTGGTCTTTATCTATCTACCCACCGTAAGGTCCTTCTGCAGGTCGCAACAGTACGGAAATACAGTATTAAAATCAGTTAAAACAATTGGTAATTGGAAAAACAGGGTGGGCCCTAGAAATCTCTATCGGGTCAAGTTGGGGGACCTCCCAGGTATGCGCCCCCAGTGAAAAAGCCCTCCTCCTGTGCCTGCTTGCAAGTAAGCATCACGCCATGGTGATAAATAACTGGACTCCATTAGTAGTGCCCTTACCAGGCAGTGAAGAAGAAGGTGATTTTTCAGGTAATCAGCTCCAGAGTTATTTGGGGCTTTGTTCGCAGGGAACAGACCCCTAAAACTGGTTGGTGGCTAAATAGGTGTGGAGCCTGACTTGGTTCCCATTGGGATAGCTTAGTCGGTGGAGCACGAGGTTGTGGGTTCGGTTCCCTGTCCTTGTCTAGCCTTGTGGAGGAAGGGCAGGGCTCAGTTAAAGGCCCCGGAGTCTGAAAAGTGAAAACGTGAAGTGTAGTAGATGCTGGCCCTTTGGGGCAAATGAGGCAGTGCCCTGCTAACCCCTGGCTGCCCTCTGCCAGGCCGTTCCCACCTCCCTGCCTTCTTACAATCAGTCCCTGGCTGGCGGCCTTCCTCTTACGGCTTGTAAAACTCAGCAGGGAGGAAGATGGGGTCAAAACTTGCTTGCCATTGCCTTTGGCTCCCCCTACTGTTGGCCTCCTGCATTTCAGCCCGACGGACACCAGTCACTGTCACCGGAGTGAGGAGAACCTTTAATAAGCATGATGTAAAATTGAGTTACGTGGGTGATTTCCCCTGTCACCAATGCACAGAAGCTGTCCTTCTGGCAAAGGCACCTCCCACCACTGTGGTCCACTAACTGTTGTCAACGCTTTGGCCACCTGGCTCTCAGCCCTTCTCGCTTACTGCTTCTGTAACACCCCAGTTGTCGCCATGCTGTGGTATTAACTATCTTGTGCCTTAAGTGTCCCCCCTCCCTTTGTGCTCTCTCCACACCCACCACACACACACCACACACACACACACCACTGGTTTCCGCTCCATCAGTTTTACGGGATAACAAATACTTTGCTGTTGTCTCTTTTACAGTAGCTGTAAAGGCATTTTAGTTAACAAGCTGTTAAATTACGTTTAATTGGTTTAATTTGGTTTGTTGGTGATTTCCCCCACCACCACCAAAAAAAAGCAATTGCCAGATCTCATTGTAGGAGATCTGTTTGAGGACCTTTGAATGGTAGCTGTGGTTTTCTCTTTTTTTGGTTAGCACAATCTGTGTCTAGTCGTTCGGCATTTCTACAGCAATACCAATGTGTGTAGATTGTTTTAAAAACCGTTTCTGCTAGTTCCCCCCATGTTAACAGATGGGAGCTGTGCCCCATAGAGAATAACTAGCCCAAGGCTATATGCCGTGTTCCCAGCTGATTTATTTTGTCATTTTTTAAAATAAAAAAACACACACATTATAATGAATGCTTTTGGGAGCAAACACGCAAAGTGGCTTACACACAATTACATATGTATTAAAAATCAGTTTCTGGATCCTGTCTCTTTGTCACCGTGTGGCGTGACCAAGAAATGGAATTCAGGGTGGAGCTATGCAAATAAGGAGCGGGCTCGATTCTCAGTGGCTCCCATTACCTTCTGTCAGGAGCAAATAAAAGTTAATAAAAACAAGTATATGACTCAGTGTGTTGTTTCTTGCATGAAGATCAGGTCGCCAGTCCGTCTGTGTTGATTTATACATCCAAGCTTTAAAGCAGCATTACGCCTCTGCCCACAAAGCACCCTGGGAACTGTAGTCAGTTAAAAGTGCTGAACGTTGCTAGGAGACCCCTATTCCTCTCCCAGCACTACCATTTCCAAGGTTCCTTGGGAAGATCGGTTGCCTGTTAAACACCCCTGGGAATGGTAGCACTGGGAGGGGAATAGGGGTCTCCTAACAACTCTAAGCACCCTTAAGGAACTACAGCTCCCAGGATTCTTTGGGAAGAAGCCAGGACTGTTTAAAGGGGCATGGTGATGTTTTAAATGGGTAGTACATGTGGGGCCTACTGGAGAGATGTTTGACTCTCTTTTTCAGGTACAGTTGCTTGCAAGGCTAAGACAAGCACAGAAGCAGTAGCCAGTCGGATACCATGTGGGTTTGCCCAATACATAGTAGAGGCTGGACCATTTAAGCTGAGCGGGGCACTGCCTCACCAACCTCAGCCAGCGCCCACCTGCCTGCCTTCTGACATCCAGGCCAGAGGGTGGAGGCACTCTTCCTTAGTCTTAATGCTGCCCTTGTAAAACACACCAGGGAGGAGGATGGGGACAGAACTAGAATAAGTTGGAGCTGCCTGTCGTTGTCTCTGGCGCCACCTGCTGTTGGCTCCCTGCTTTCCACCCTATCGGTTCCAAGAGGCACCAGCCACCACTGCCAATACAGGATCAGAATGCCTCCTTTTCATTGCAAACTTTTGCCCCTGCTCTTCCCACTATCAAAAGAGTCCACTGGAAGCTGTCTTCCTTGTTCCAAAGAACCAAATGACACAGACCTCCTTGGATTACAGCCCTTCGTTTTGCAGGGGTGGACAGGTGCAGAATCACATGACTGAATTCTCCCATGTGCACCCATGTGCACTAGTGGAAAGCTAGCACGTCAAGTAAAAGGGTTGGATCTAACGCTTTACCCTTCCAGACTAGATTTCAAGATGCAGGGAAGTTTGTTTGTTTAAAATGGAGCATTGCAATAACAGGGGTCAGCAAACTTTTTCATCAGGGGGCCGGTCCACTGTCCCTCAGACCTTGTGGGGGGCCGGACTATATTTCAACGAATTTATATGCCCCACAAATAACCCAGAGATGCATTTTAAATAAAAGGACACATTCTACTCATGTAAAAACATGCTGATTCCCGGACTGTCCGCGGGCCGGATTTAGAAGGTGATTGGGCTGGATCCGGCCACCGGGCCATAGTTTGCCTACCCATGCAATAAAGGTTTCCTCAGGTGAAATTGGAATCTGTACAATCGAAGCAAGATGCAAACAAATAACATTTGCCAACGAGCCTCGGATCACCTTGGTGCTGATGTTTAAGAAGTTGCCAGCATGGCGGAACCTGCTGTGCAAGAAAGTGGAGGAAAATAAATGTCAGAAAACATTTATGTGGTTCTAGGCTACCAAATTGGGCAGATCGATGCTAGTGGGATTGTGAAAAGTGTATCCCATTGAGTTTTTCTCCTCTGTCCATTTGCTGCTGTCGCCTTGAGCTGGCGGTGGATATAAATAGTGCCTCTTCCCTTCCCTGGCAGGTTTGGCAGATGGTGTCGCATGTGACAGGGGACCCAGCTGAACAGATGGTTCTGTGAAGAGCTTATATCCTGTGCCATGCTGCCCGCCGGAATCCACACAAAACAGCGCATCTGCTTTCCAAGGAAATCCTGGGTTGCCCAAACCCTTCTCTCCCGGCTCCCACCCTCAGACAAATGCCTTCGGCTCTCAGTGTGGGAGGTTATGGGGATACACAGCTCCAAAGGCCAAATCCACACCATAGATTCAAAGCACTGTTAAACGGTCATGGCTTCCCCCAAAGGATTCTGGGAGCTGTGGTTTGCACCGCCGAGAGTTGTTAGGAGACCCTTACAAGCACAATAAATACGAATATGGTATCTGTGTAAGCCTCTAAACAACGATCTATACTTGTTTCAGTGTTTTTTATGTTCAGATGGGCAAGGGTTTTGTTTCAAAACAACTGAACCTATAGCAGATAGATGAAGAATTGGAAGTTCTCTCTTTCTTTCTTTCTTTCTTTCTTTCTACCCCCCCTTTTGTGTTTTTATTGTATCTAGATAAAAATATTGGTTTGGTTTTTTAAAAAAGGAAAAATATATTAAATCTTTTATGTTTCTCTATAAACCTTAAGATCTATTTCAAAATAAATACATGAAACAACTGAGCCCATGCTAAGTTTGTGTGTGGAGGTTTAACACACACAGCCCGCCCCCCAAAAAACTCAGAAGGTATCACAACCTCTGCACAGGTGAATCAGACTCTATTCACCTCTCCTCCCCACTCTCTCCTTTTACAAAGGACATTAATATCCCTAAAAGCAATCCTCTGCCCTTCCCACACCCTGGAAATTGCAGCTCTTAAGAAAATGCAGCCAGGACAATTCTTCTTTATCAACCCTCAGATTTGTTCTGGCCTATCGGGGAGACTTAAAATAACTCCCTCTCCTTCTTTTCAAAGGGATAAGAAGAGGCGCCAAGATCAATATGACCGACCTTGAGCTTAAAAAACGGGAGGCAGGAGAACGATCCATTTAGGATGCAGCAGTTTCCTTCCTCCTTTTAAATGGGGGTAATTTGATTTATTGGCAAGATAACACTGCAGAGGCTTGGAAAGAGAGCACTGGGGAGAAGGGGGAGGTTGTGCTCAATGGACAGTGTTTTTATTTAGGGGAGAAGGAGGGGGAACACCTGAGTTGAATCAGCAATAAATAAAGCTGGCAGTAGCCAAACTTCAGGCTAGTGATTCCTTGCATTTCTGTCTCCCATCCTTCCACCAAGGATATCAGGGCTAGCTCTCCTCCTCACTTTTATCCTCTCAAACAGCCTTGCAAGGTATGTTGGACTGAGAGAGTGAGGCTCATTTACAAGGTCACTCCTTTAGCTTTGTGGCCTAGCAGAGATTTGAATGCAGCTCTCCCCGGTTCCTAGTCTGGCAGTCTAACCACTGCATATAAACTGGCGTCCGTTGTGTTGTGGGGTCCTCTTTGGCTTGGGGAATACAGTGGTACCTCGGGTTAAGGACTTAATTCGTTCCGGAGCTCCGTTCTTAACCTGAAACTGTTCTTAGCCTGAAGCACCACTTTAGCTAATGGGGCCTCCTGCTGCCGCTGCACCGCCGGAGCACAATTTCTGTTCTCATCCTGAAGCAAAGTTCTTAACCCGAGGTACTATTTCTGGGTTAGCGGAGTCTGTAACCTGAAGCGTATGTAACCCGAGGTACCACTGTAAAGGATTTGACCAAAAGAGACATGTCGAGGGCAGTAAGGAGCCAAATAGAGCCTCCAGGCTCAGGGGCAACGTACCATAAAATGACAGCCATTGTGGGGCACACAATAGGGGATGGATGTTTCCTCCCAGTCTTGCTTGCCGGAGAACCTTCTGGCGGCGGTGGAGAACCTTTGGCCTCTTCCAGCTGGGCCCTTCTTACGTGGCTCCCCAGACCAGTCCCAAACACTGCAGCCTTTCTTCATTTGGGAGTGCCTTCGACGCCTTGATCATTGGGGTTGCCCCTTTCTAAACCTTCTCCAACTCTAAGGTAGCCTGTTTGATATGAGGCTACCAGAACTGTACGCAGCATTCCCTATGTGGTCGCGCCATAGATTTCATAGAATCCATATACTTGTAGTGTTGGAAGGGACCCAAAGGGTCGTGTTCTGTAACTTCAGGTCATCTAGTCCAACCCCCTCATAATCCTCATTTTTCTTTTTTGTTAGAGCGTGTATTCATTTTCCAATAAAAATTAATTTCTCAATAAAAACATCCAATTAACATTCAAATCATAATCCAATAAAAATAAAAAACTAAAATAAAAAAATCCAATTGTCTTCTGAATTTAGTTCTAATTTTGTGGCTTCCCACGGCCTGAACTTCAAAGCAACTCCGAATCTCAGTCCTGCTTCTCACAATATTTCCATAATTCCATATCCAGACTTCTTTGCCTCTGGCTCTGCGATCCTCAACACATCAAGAAACACGAATAATCCTTCCACCTCCAAGTGCAGACTTGTGTATATTGTGTTCCCTTCAACTGCTTTTTTCCCCCCTCGCGCCGCTTCAGCTGACCCCATCCAGTCCAGCCTTTTGTCCAATTCTTTGAATTTGATATCTTGGCAGCTCCCAGATCATTAATCTTTCTGGTAACCCTCTTTTCGAACCATCCAGGTTGGTGGCGTTCACTGCCTACTGTGGCAGGGAGTTCCATAGTTTGTGTTGCGAGAACAAGGGCTTTCTTTTATTGGTCCTGAATTTTCTAACTTTCTGTTTCGTGGGATGTCCACAAAGTCTAGTGTCATGAGGGAGGGGGTGGGCTTGGCACAGGGGAAGATTCCGTAATATCGTGGCTGCCCTCCCCCAGTCCAGTCGGTCTAAAGATGTAGAGACAAGGACAGCTGCGGTGGGCAGAGTGAGGCTGCCTTGGACCTCCTAGCTCAGCATCACCACAGTTGTGGGTTTCAGGTGGGGGGGTGTTCATTTGACAGCCCCACCCACCCAGGGCTTTTATTTACCTTTTTTATATAAATTTGTATTAGTTTTTTTAACATACCATTTTCAACAGTAATTAAACATACTTTTACATCTTATTCAATTTTTTTGACTTCCATCAATCCTGTCTGAAAATTTTCCAATCTAATCTCTTAGTATGCATTTCTTATTTTCCCTATTACATTTCAAACTCATAACCAATATCTCTATCTTTTTCTACTTGGTAACACTTCGTATATTTCTCCTTACAAAACTTCTTGTCGTCCTACTAGCGTAATTTGTTGATTACAGTTGCTCTTCAAATAATTCATATACTTCTTCCAATCTTCTGTAAATCTCTGGTCCCGCAGGTTTCAAATCCTTCCTGACATTTTGTCCAATTCTGCATAGTCCATTAATTTTGTCTGCTATTCTCCTTTC